GGTAAAGGTACAAGTGGCAGCGTTGGAAGGGGTTCAAGTGGGTTTGGGAGCTGAAGGCTGGAATGCAAGAGCATTGTCCGGATTTGTCCATTGCAGCAGGCTTCGAGGATGAAGCCTAGTTCAAGTGGGGGAGAGTTGTAACATCCCGATTTCCGAGAATGAGATTTAGGGATTTCATGCAATTAAGGAAGCCTACTCGACGATTTGGAGACCCCAACTCGTCGTGTAGAGTTTTAGTCAGCCCGCGTGATTTATGCGGTCTACTCGACGAGTCGGAGGACCCCGACTCGACGAGTAGGAGTTGGAAGATGAAACCCTAATTTCCAGGGTTTTGCACCCTATTTCAAGGGTCATTAGCCTCCCTTACCGTCCCTCTTGAGCTCAGAAATACCCTACTCTCGCCTACTCTACATTATTGTGTGTAAAGAAGCTTGGAAGGTGGATTTTGTGAAGAAGGCTTGAAGTCTAAGGAACTTGGAGCAAAGAGAAGCTTGTGGATCTGACTCTACTTCATCTTGGCATCATTTTGAAGGTAACAAGTCGTTACCGTGACTTATCTTTAGCTAGATCTCTTCATGTAAAGGTTTAGGGCCATTTTCTAGTTGGTTGTGGGTTATTTCGGGTATTGGACATGATCTGAAGTTGTAACTTCAGATCTGGACTCCTCTAAGTCCCTATGGTCATAAAGTTATCAGATTTAGCAAGCTTTGCCCCTTCTCCTTGGGTTAAACCTTTTCCTTAGCTTGGTTTTAGCATTTAGGACCATGCATGTACGTAAAGTTTGCAACTTTACGTGGAAACCATGCTCAAGGAGGTTAGATCTGCAATTTGGAGCTTTGGGGTAGCTTAAAATCGTCTGAATGAGAAATGGACTGAAGTGACTCGACGAGTTGCATGGTCAACTCGACGAATCGGATGAAGATTGGCCGTTGTGGGTTTCTGTATGGACTCAACGATTTAGTGAGACGACTCGACGAGTCAGTTAGGGTTATCCCGACATTTGGACACGCACGTACTCGACGAGTTGTCTGGAAACTCGACGAGTCAACTAGGGTTTTCACGATTTCTCGAGAGTTGAAGGACTCGACGAGTCAGTGAACTACACTCGACGAGTTGGGTCAACATGGACTGTTGACCTTGACCGTTGACTTTGACCTTGACCAAGGGATTGACCAGTTGACTTCTGGGGGTATTTTGGTAATTTGGGAATTTATGGAAGTGAATCATTGATGAATATAGGTGGTGGAGTTCGTGGCTGGGATTCGAGAGCTTGATCTTATCAATACATTTCGACATTTGTGAGGTAAGTTCTTTTCACTATATCAACAGGGTCTAAGGCACCAAGGTCGGCCCTTTATGATTTATATCTTGGTTATAGGATGGTTGATATGTTAGTGATCTGTTAGATTGGTATCTTGGTTATAGGATTATGCTATGTTAGCGATCTGTTAGATCGGTATCCTGGTTATAGGATGGTTGTTATGTTAGTGATCGGTTAGATCTGTATCCTGGTTATAGGATGGTTGCCATGTTAGTGATATGTTAGATCTGTATGACTATCTGTACATGCTAGCCAGCATATGATATTTATGTGCACATGTTTGTTGATTGGGGGATAGGTTGAGGCGGACATGCTTTGTGCTTACACCAACATATCCAGGGCGGACCGGATAGACTGCAGACCCGGGAGGGCACACTAGTCAGACCGAAGGCCCGACGAGCGGTCCGGATAGGCTGAAGGCCCGCGAGGCGGTCCAGACGTGCCGATGGCTCAGAGAGTGGTCCAGATAGACTGATGGCATGCGAGGCGGTCCAGTCAGGCTGATTATGCAAGCTGTTCGTTTATATGATATGATTATGATTGTATGGTGTTGGTATTTTTGGGGAACTCACTAAGCTTCGGGCTTACACTTGTTGATTTTGTTTCAGGTACTTCTGATGATCGCGGGAAGGCGAAGGCGTGATCGTACACCTCCTTATGTTTTTATGATTTGATTCTGGGATACTCTGACATTATACTATTTACAAAATAAGTTTTGTAATAATCATTGGTTTTGAAATGTTTTAAAAAGTTTAAATTTGACATGATTTTTATGGATGTTACAAAATAGGTGCAAAACCCGAAAAAATAGGGTTTAAGACATCAGTGGCGTGGCCTTCCTTGCCACGTTGTGGCGAGTCAAAAAGACTTGCGGCTGGAAAATGCCTTGCCACGTCGGCTAGGGTTTGATATTTTTGGTTAGAACCGCTATGATACCATATAGAAATTGATAGTAGAAGATTCAACTATTTCATTGATCACAAAAGGGTTTAAATGCAAGAAAAAAGATAAAAACAGAAGTCCCTAAACTTAAGGCAAAAGCTAATATAAAATATGCATAAACAATATCTAATACGAAAATAATATCTAAATTCCAATAATATTAAGATGTTTTTAGGTCATTATACTCATCATCGAATCATAGATGAATAGTGCTTTGATACCGTGAAAATTAAGAGACAAATATGGATAGAGTTTTATTATCAGAAAAAATATGTGTAAAATAAAAGCAAAAATGAAACTATACATAGAAAACCAATTAGGGTAAACACTTAGAAATATACATAAATTAGATTTCTAAGAATTAAATTGTTTATTCGTATGATCATTGATCAATTTGACAATTTTAATCATGATACGAGGAAACCTATGTCCTCAACTCATGTTGAGGATTAAAGGAACCCCGAGAACTCTTCAAGAAATTTGAATTAGACAAACATAAAATTTGACCTTCTCAGTTTACTTAAAAATTAGGTCCATATCATTATCATGTTATTGTAAAAATAGCATTTTTGGTTGCTATGAGGATAATAAGTTTCACAATAATATATGCAAAATTGTTAAATGATTTTAGCTATTAATATTGAGAAAATTGTACTATTTAAACTCTAAAGTTAGTAATGTTGATATTATAAATCATTTCCATAATATGAAAGTTGCACATGAAACAATAATTTAAGCCTGACTTTAATACATATTTTGGGTCTGCTAGAGTTTAAACTATGGATTTCTTGTATGAAATTCCGCACCCAACTGTTAGACTCCCATCACAGGCAACCTTTATATTAAGTTGTTTTTGCTTTTAGTAACATTGTGATTTATCTCATAGATGGTTCGGACATACACCTTGTTTGATTCGGAGTTATATAACACAATGGCACAATTTTAAAAGTCAATCCTATATAATTGTTGTTGTTAATCAGGGTTGGGTCGAACCTAAGCCATTTCATGTATTGGGTGAAATATTCTAATAATGCCTCAATTTTATGATGTCAACGTAGAAACCAATGTAAAAAACTACTTCTCTAGAGCAACAAGGTAATAAAATACCTTGTTTAAAGAATTCACATTCTTTCAAACTAAAGATACACAATTACAAAAAAACTAATTTTTATAACATGTAAAGAAAACATATTTAAGACCATATTTGTGCGATTATTCCAACGTTTAAATATAAACTTTGAAAGAGTTCTATAATCACAATATACAAATTACACATTAGTCCCTCAAACACTCAAACACAAATTATTGTATGCCCTTCCATTATCTACACTTTTTCTTTATCCTGTATGCAATGAACATGGAACCATAAACAATATCCGAGTTAATAATTTCCATATAAACCCTAAAACAGTAAATATAATAAAAATTAAAATTAAACAGTAAAGTCCTTATTTACATTTCTAAGTCAATATTATTTTTTTTGAACCGCGGATGCATTAGAAAAAGACTAGCAAAATGCTAGACAAAATTACACAGTACAAGCATTACAAAGGAAGATACATCAATCGAACCAATAAATAAAATTATAAGGAGATCTATGTTTAATCCAATTATAAGTAACTAATTGAATATCATCCGCAATTTTTAAAGGAGAGCTTCTCTTCTTGTTGAACACTAGATTAACCAAACCACCAAATATGTTAAGGCAAACTTAAGCTTTTTCTTCTTCTTTCCTTAAACAGGTTCCCCCAACTGCAAAACTTATTTTTTCCAGAGAACAATTTAACAAATCTTTTTTTTTATTCAAAGAACTCTTATTTTTTTTTCATGAGAGCAACTAAATTGATGAATAATAACAAGAAGCAAATCATCATAAACAATGAAAATTGAAAACAAAAAATAACAAACCTTTAAACAATAGACATGAAATTCAGAAAAAAATCCATCTTAAAAGAAGAGAGATGTTCACCAAAAACAACATTCTAATACCTAAGTAATGAAATTAACCAGCAGGACAATTTAATTGGAATTTTAGTGTCAAATTTATGATACTAGCTTTTAACTATTAATCCTGCCGTTTAAAAAAAATTGGAATTTTAATGTGAGTCTATTTATGTTTATGTTTTTACATTCTAGATGTATAGTGGTCTAAAAATAAATCATAAAATAAAAAATATGAATATTTTTTGGAATTTTAGTGTGAGTCTATTTATGTTTATGTTTCCACATTCTAGATGTAGAGTGATCTCGATAATAAATCATAAAATAAAAAATATGAATATTTTTTAAAAACCTACTCTTGAAGAGCGACAATGTAAAAGTTATACAATTTGCGTGCTTTTGCCTCTAGAAATTAAGATATGAACTATAGAGATTTAGAAATCAGAACAAAAAATTATAACTGAAGCAAACCATAAAATTAAGACACAGAGGTGTGAAGCAACTCATGATTTCCAAATCAAATAGAAGAGCCCAAACACAAAATAGATATCCATAGCATATTTGAGATTTCGAACTCCAAATCCTAAAGCAAAACGGTAAACCACAAAAACCAGACCTCCTGAAGCAAACTCCTAAACAAAACAAATAAATAAGATATTAAAGGTACAAATTTTGTAAAGAAAAGTACCTATTGAGACATGAAGCAAATGTCAAACTCCAAAAATCGTCTTTCTACCTCTTAATTTCGAAAATACCTCATGAGACCTTATTCAAACTTTGAAAAGAAAAATACTCCATGACAGTTGATTTAGAGAGGAGAAGAGGCGATGACAATCAATTTAGAGAGGAATTCGACTACTACAATTATCGTTTTTCAAGCTGCGATTGGCGGCAGAGGAGAAATCAGAAAATTAAAAATAACAAGTATGAATCACCGAATTGGAATTAAAGAAGTGTATTATACAATATTCATTCTTTTATGTGTCGATTGAAACCAATCACAGATAAAGAATATAACTCTCACACCTTGTTCTCGAGTTTTTTTCGCAGATTCATTAAAGGAAAGGGAAGGAAAATTTTGACAAAAAGAAAGGGAGGTGAAGGAAAATATTTATTACTCCGTGTTCCCGAGTTCGAAGGAAATGAAAGGAAAATTTAAAGTTTTGTGTTCCCGAGTTAGGAGGAAAAAGAAAATAAAACTTGAAATTTTCCTTCCCCTCACTTTCTTCTCAAATCCGCCCAATTTGGGAGGAAAATTTGGAAGGAAAATATGACTTCAAAATCCTTCCCCTCCCCTCACTTTCCTTCCATTAATGAAACTCGGGAACACGGTTTTCCTTCGCCACCCCTCACTTTCCCTCCGTATCCTCCCATTTCTCTCCTTAAGTAGAAATCGGGAACAAGGCGTCAAGGCCAGAGCGTCTAGTTAATTTTGAGGGCCCCATATAAAAAATAAAAATGGGCGTTTTAATATAATTTTTTTAAATAAATACAAAATTTGCTAATACTATGATAAATCGATGTATTATAATCAAAACAAATGAATGATAATATGATATATAGTCTTCATGGGTATATTAAATTAAAAACATATATATTTCGATTTCATGTTATGTAGGCCTTGCGTTTAGACTCCATCGTACATAAACTAAAAGTTTTGGATCAAGATGATATATAGTATTAGTTATCAGGCTAAACTTATGCCCTAGATATATACTACCCTGGGCCTTAGCCCATCTCGTTTAGGTATTGGAACACACCTTGTTAATTATATCTGATATGAACTACTTAGTTGGAATTAGGGAATTATTGTCAAAGATGGTTGATCTTGATTAAAATAGGAGATCACACATTTACAATATGGTTTGGTTGAAATATATTATGCTTGCTTCTTTCCGAGTGAAAGTGAAATCAAAATTGGTGTTTAAAATAATTCGACATATACCTAAAATAACAAAGATGGCTATGGATAATGTGGCTAGTTTATTTATACATGTATGTATGTTTATTTATTTGTTTATTTTTAGGGGTGGAGGGAGTGACACAAGACTTTGAAAAGAGTAAAAAGAGGAGAGGGGGAAGAGATTGGAGGGAAAGGGAAAATATATCGCGCGCAGGAGATGCGAAAACAGCGCTCTCTCTTTCATCACCATATCGAATTTTGGTCACTCACAATCAACATCTAACCCATTAGCGGCGGAGAGTCCATATCGGAACCACATACCCACCACTACCACCGACTTACCTTCTCTCTTTCAAAAAAACTCTCTCACTTCCAAAACCCTAGATTCTTTCATACGCCAAATTGCTTCATCTCAAGATCTGTTTCTGTTATTCAACGAGGTAAGCTGCTGCACTCATATTCACTCATATCTTATGTCTACGTAGAAATGTATATGCTCATGTTGTTGAATTGCTCGACTTTGTTGGTTTAAATAGCTGATGTTTAATGTAAAACTTTGGGAGCTTGAATCAATCGCACATTTTTCCTCTGGGATTTTCAAGAATGAATGCATTTTCAGCCCCTTTGTTGGAAATAGGCTAGATAAAGGAGAAGAAACTGGATTTTTTTATGAGATCTGTTGGTTTTCATTGAAGTTTAATCAAGGAAAAAAATAGATTTTATAATGCTTGCTTTTCATGATATGCAATATCTATATTTCGTTTAATCTCAAGGCTCTTTTTGATTATTGACATGCCGTTTTGAACAGAGTTATCGTCAAATAACATAATATCAAACATGGCAAATCACAAGAGTAATGAAGTGGTCAATGGAACTCCAACTCAAGGAGACGTAAGCAAGGAATCAGGTCAGAAGAAAGGGCAAACAAGAAAAAAAGAAAAAATCGGTACTCAGACTCCAAGGGTATTACGTTCAAGATCGCAAGAGAAACCTAAAGCTTCTGAATCAGTAGATCCTTCTCCACAAGATCAAACAAGCACAGAAAAGAAGAGAAAGAAGATAAAGAAGATAAAAAAAGATCAAAATGACGAATTCTCAAAAATAAGAACACATTTAAGATATTTACTACAGAAAATGAGCTATGAACAACTCTTCATTGATGCTTATGTTGGCGAAGGGTGGAAAGGCCAAAGGTTTGTGACATTGTGATTTGTTCTTCCATTTTCAAAAAAACAAGATTATTTATATATATTTTTTGTTTTGTGACAAACAGTTTAGAGAAAATAAGACCAGAGAAGGAGCTTCAACGTGCTAAATCAGATATCAATCGTTTCAAATTGAGAATAAGAGATCTTTTCCAAAAGATTGATAAATCATGTGAAGAAGGAAGGTTTCCAGATACTTTATATGATTCTGATGGGCTAATCGACAGTGAAGATGTAAGAGATTCTTTTAACTTATAACTTATTATTATTATTATTACTTTTAATCTTTTATCTTATTGTTATTTTTTTTTTGGCAGATATTTTGTGCAAAATGTGCACAAACAGAAGTAAAACTTGACAATGATATTATTCTTTGTGATGGTTTTTGTGATCGTGGATTTCATCAATTTTGTTTGGATCCACCTTTATTGAAAGAACAAGGTAGCATCTTAATTTTTACAAAAAAAAAAAAAAAAAACACATTTTTTAACATTAATTAATACATAAAGAGCTTTATAACCAATTATTATCATCTCTTTGGTATACAGTTCCTCCTGGTGATGAAGGGTGGCTTTGCCCTGCTTGTGATTGCAAGGTTGACTGTGTTGACTTGTTAAATGATTCCATGGGGACAGATTTGTCCATCAATGATAACTGGGAGGTCGGTTTGGTCATTTTTAAAAAAATATTCCATTTGGGTTTTTATAAAAATCTTGATTTTCATATCTTTGACAACTGCAGAAGGTCTTTCCTGAAACTGCAGTATCTGGGGACAACTTAAATGACATTTCAGGGCTTCCCTCTGATGATTCTGAAGATGACGATTATAACCCTGATGCTCCACAGGTGGCAGAAGATGAGGTAGATGTAGAGGATCCAAGCTCTGATGAGTCTGATTTCTCTTCTGCATCTGAAGATTTGGGAGCCATAGCAAATAATAATAACAATAATAATAATAATAATAATAATGAAGAACAGTATTTAGGGCTTCTTTCTGATGATTCAGAAGATGATGATTTTAATCCTGATAAAGCAGATGATGATGATGATGATGATGATAATCATAAGGCCAAAAGTTCTGGATCAGATTTTACATCTGATTCAGAGGATCTTGGTGACATCAGCAAGAATGAAGTGACATCAGCTGAAGTTGTTAAAGAGTCTGTAGTATCTGAAAAAGATGAAGAAATCTTGAAAACAGATATGGAAAATGACGATTCTGCCCCTATAACTGCAAGGAGACATGTTCAGAGATTGGACTACAAAAAGCTGCATGATGTAAGAGCATGTTTCTTTTCCTTTTCTCTGAATGGAGAAATGACCGTTTTACCCCTGTTTCCCATGCATGGGAAATGATGTCTTTGTTTTGTATTTTGGATTGAATGAATTGTTTGTATACGAGTAAATGACTATTTTACCTCTATTTCCCATCTGTGGGTAATGATGTCTATATAGATAATAAGTGATGTATAGACGAAGACGAAGTCTGTTTCTTTCTTGCACTGAATGAGTTGTTTGAGTATAATCAAATTAAATGACCATTTTACCCTTGTATATACAGGAGGCATATGGGAATGTTTCATCGGATTCAAGTGATGAGGATTTTTCTGATTCTGAAGGGCCAAAGAGACAGAAGAATACTAAAGAGGCAAAGGGTGAAAACTTGAATAAAAAACAGAAAGAAAGTGACTCTACTACCCCTGTAAGAAAAAATGGTAAGAAGGTAGATGTTGAGGGCAAAAATGGTACTTCAGCACGTAAGGGTTCTTCTGCAGCTGGTTCTGGTGATAAAAGTGGTGCTAAATCATCAAATAAAAAACTTGGAGAAGCTGTTACTAAGGTATCTTTATAATTCTTGTAACAAAATACTATTTAATATTATTTACAATCATATATATATATATATATATATATATATATATATGTTTTTTAATTCCAATTTATTCTTCTTATGCAGAGACTCTATGAAATATTCAAGGAAAACAAATACCCTAACCGAAATATCAAAGAAAATCTAATGAAAGAATTGAATCTCACTCTGAATCAGGTTTATAATCTTTTGTATTATTTATATATTTTGATGACAATATTTCTTCTATTTCATGTATAGTTTTTAATATTTTGTGTATTATTAATAAAATATTATTTGACAGGTCAGCAAATGGTTTGAAAATGCTCGTAGGAGTTCTAAGCACCCTGAACAACACAACGGTGGAGCAAGTACCCCAACCCCGGGCCCCACACCAGAAAAGTCAACAGCCAAGCAAGCGAATTGGAAAAAGTCAACAACCAAGCAAGAGAATGGGGAAAAGTCAACAACCAAGCAAGAGAATGGAGAAAAGTCAACGCCCATAAAATCTAGTAAGAGAAAAGCAAAGGGGGATGATGAGGATATGAATTTGAAAGATGCTAATTCTTCTCCAATGGATTTATCGAGTCAAAGTGCTCGTAGAAGTGGTAGGGTTCGTGCTAAAAGAGTGTGATTAATATAAAATGTGAAATTTAATCACATTTTATGAAATATTGATTTAATGTGATGTGGATTTTAAGGCCTAATTTGGTGGTGTTTTCATGGTTGTTGTAGTGGTTTTTGTAAGAACTTATGTGATGACAAAGAAAGTTGGACATTTTTTTGTTGAGATATAAATTTGCGGATTAATGAATTTATTCGATGTATGTTTACTATATTGTGGTTAGATGTTTTTAGATATCTAACATGGTATGAGGGTGAATGTCTAGCACCTCATGGGCTCACAACACATATCATACATGCATGTTAAGGTTTCATATCGAGACACGTTCCATACATAACTATGTTTTTGAAGTATTTGTAGAAATAATGCATGTTTGAATCTTATAGACAAATGTTTAATGATCAAAAAGCTTAAATTCAAGTATGCTTAGTATAAACTTGTAGGAAACTAAACCAAAAATGTTAAGCACCTAAAAGGCATTTTCTTCAAAACAATTGGTACATCCCATTTGCACTATTCAAACATCATCAAACATCAAGTGCGTTGATGAAATATAGAACATCAAAACTTATATAACAAATGAATGAGGTAAATGGAAGGTAAGATGTATAAATGGAAGGTAAGATGTATTCAATCATGCATTTACCCAAAGATAAAAAGACTGCGTTTATAGATGACCTTCAACATATAAGAACGAGTCCACAATGATAAATAATGTACCTACACTACTCCGCCATACATGCCATGTTATCTGGAAGAGCAAACTCTTTCAAGCCCATGTTATCTTCAAACTATCTTCTAAGGAATCCTCTCATTAGCCCACCATCGAGTGTTGCCAACTTCACCCACATAACCATTAGTGGGTTGGGTTGATATTTTCGAGCATTTAATTAAATTTGTCAACTCGTCTAACTCATTTAAGTAAATGGATTGGGTTGGAATTTTCAACCTGCCGACACGTTTAAATATAATATACATACTTATTCTATATTTCATTAAATATTAATTTTCACTTATAATATTGTATTATGTCTAAAACAGAAAACCCTAATTCTAATTTCTAAAACTTTGGACATTGGTGTTGTATCAAGACTTTAGCCGTGAGGTTACAAACTCTAATCTCATTCTGGTTCATGATTACGTGAAAATGGAGTTGGTGAAAATGGAAGTTGAGTTGCTAACAAATTAAACATCTCCAATGTTATTTGAACAATTTATTTGTATCTATAATTGTATGTTTTCTAACTTTAAAAAAATATTGGAGTTTGAAACTTATTTAAGTATGGTAATCTTATTTATTTATTTACATTTTAACTTTAAACGGGTCAACCTAGGTTCATCCATTTGTTTAACATGTTGGGCTTGAGAAAAAATAACATGTTAATCCGATATCAACACAATTATTAATAAGATTAAAATTCTCAATCCATTTTACTGAACAATATGTTCAATCAATTTAATGAGTTGAAACTAAACCCAACCCCGTCGACCCGACCATTACTACTTACTTACCTATATATACTAGGGTTAATGACCTAGAAAGGTAACGAACTTTGGTCTTTGTCCACATTTAGGTAATCATGTTTTTTTCGTTCACATTTGACCATTGAACTTGCTTGACCTGTTCAAAATAGGGTAATATGACTGATAATTGCGGTAATATTACTCTATTATGAACAGGCCAAACAAGTTTATTGTTCAAAGACAAAACTTCAAAAATGGTCCCTGTGGTTTCCGAAAATCTGAAGTTTAGTCCCTAATCTTTAAAAACCTCATAGATGGTCCCTGTGGTTTCAAAACTTTTAACAAATGGTCCTTTTCGTTAACTCTGTTAGCTTTTGGCCGTTAAGTGAAGGGTATTTCTGTCATTTCACTGCCACAGGGACCATTTATGAAGATTATTATTTAATATTAAAGGGTCCCACCTCTCTCTCTCTCAAAAACATCAAACCACAGCTGTTATCTGCTCCTTATACCATCATCACCACGAGGTGACACTGGCCAAGGTAAGTGATTTCATGCCTCTACTCCGATCAAAACACACAGATCCACCGTCATCCTTTCCCTTCAGCAACCCCTTTATTTCGATTGTTCAACAGTAAAATAAGTATCTCCTACCTTCATTTTCGTTCCCTTCACCTTACTTCTACCCTGTCACCACCATCAATCACAGTCCGTGGTTTCTTTCAAAGAAGAGAGCAACAAAACCAGAGATCTATCATGTTTGGAGAAGGTATCATTCAATGAGTTCAAACAACTAGTTCAAGAAGCCATTACCAACAAATATTTCGCGTTTTCGTCTTCATCAGAAAACACCACTTCAAAATCAAATCAAATCCCGATGAGATCTCAACTTGGGGCATACCTCTTCTTAAAGGCGATCGAACTGATGTAATTTTGCTCAAGTTCTTGTGAGCTAGAGACTTCAAAGTGAAAGATTCTTTCATGATGCTTAAGAACTGATGCCTATAACGGGTTTCAGAACAAATAACTTTATCAGAAAACCTTCTCCGATGAAGAAAAGAGAACAAGGTTTCTGAAATGGAGGATTTAGTTTCTTGAGAGGAGCATAAGAAAGCTGGATTTTAGTCCCGACTGCTTAAATACTATTTTTCAGGTCAATGATCTGAAGAACTCGCCGACGCCGGGGAAGAGGGAGCTCCGACTAGTCACCAAACAAGCTTTACAGCTACTACAAGACAATTATCGTGAATTTGTTCCAAACCCACTTGTGTTTTGTTCTTGGATCACGGTTTTTAACAAAAATTTGTATGTGTGTTTGTTCAAGAGAAAGAAGATGAACCCAAGATCTACCCACTTGGAGAGAGAGAGAGAGAGAGAGAGAGAGAGAGAGAGAGAGAGAGAGAGTGAGACCCTTTAATATTAAATAATTAGTTTTTTTTAAAATAAGACAAATCTTCATAAATGGTCCCTGTGGCACTGAAATGACAAAAATACCCTTCATTTAACGGCCAAAAGCTAACGGAGTTAACGAAAATGACCATTTGTTGTTAAAAGTTTTGAAACCACAGGGACGATCTATGAGGTTTTTTAAAGATTAGGGACTAAACTTTAGATTTTCGAAAACCACAAGGACCATTTTTGAAGTTTTTTCTTGTTCAAATGTGTACGAAAAAAACATATTTACCTAAATATGGACAAAAACCAAAGTTTCTTACCCGCTTTGGTAATATTTGACAAGAACCGTCTCAGGAATGTGTCCTGGGATCGGGCTCCGAAAATCAATGAACAATTAGGTTAGGCTTAGTGTAACCCAATTCAGTCCCGACTGATCATGGGCTAGGCTGTGTTGCTAGGTATTTAAAGCACATACATCCTATCCCCTTAAGCGTATACAACCTAACCCCTAACTAGCTCGACCTAAGACTTGACCATCTCCTCATACACAAAGACCGGACAACCCAATTTCATGTCACATCAATGGATCTTATGACTACTTGCACTTAACATAAAGAACCCAATATTACAAAAATGGGTAAGAAACTTTGGTTTTTGTCCATATTTAGGTAACCATGTTTTTTTCGTACACATTTGACCAGTAAACTTGTTTGACCTGTTCATAATAGGGTAATGTTACCGCTAATTACCAGTCATATTACCTTATTTTGAACAGGTCAAATGTATACGAAAAAAACATGGTTACCTTAATGCGAACAAATACCAAAGTTCGTTACCTTTCTAGTTCATTAACCTATTAGTAATTCCTCCATCATTTGTTTCTCTCTGTGTTGAAATTACACCAAAACTATTCCATTTAAGTTGTGTTGATTTTGTAATTTTTTTTTCCAACGATGCCCTCAAAATACCAACCTAGCATTCAATCAACCATATTCTCTTCCATCAACACAATGTTATCGACAAGAAACATACACAATGGCACCTGTCTGTTAATCTCACAAGAAATCTTGTTCATAATCACAGCAAAGATGTATATGCTAAGAGTTGATCAATGATGTAGGCATGTAGCCTTAATTTACACGAAGTATCCAAGCTAGCATTCAACTCAGTCATATTCTCTATCACCAACATAATATTGTACGTTGACCGAAAGCATGCATCATGGCACCCCCTCCCTTAGTCCCTTTAATCTCGTGAGAAATTTCATCCACAATCAAAGCAAATTAACATGAATATGCTAAGAGCTGATCCTTGATGTAGCCCAATTTCCATCAAGAAAAACTCAGTGCGCCAACTATATGCCACAATCTGATACTCTTCTTAGTTTCTTGGTATGACTAAGTTGCTTAACACCTTGATAGTTGCCACAACTTTCAACCTTTGATTTGTTCTTATAAATTAGTATGACAATATTAGATCTCAACTCCTCCGACATCATGGTCGTTGTTAAGTATCTTAACACCTTTGATAATTCCCTAACTTTCAACCTCTCATCTGTTCTTATAATTTTGTATTACAATGCCAGTTATCCCCTCCTTTTAACATAAGTTTGTTTTGATAAAACACAAGCTTATACAAAATCTTGTAACTCAAATATGGGTTCAAATATTTATAAAACAATTGGCATAAATTTTAATTAATTAATCAATATGATTAATAATAGTATAAGACGATGTGTTTTCTTGAAAAAAAGCACCTCAATCGATGTGGTAAGTGCCTTTGAGTATATGAATATAAATTTGATCATATCCTTCAATCACAAACAATACAATTGCAAAAAAATAAAACAACTAAGAAACATGGTTTAAAAATCCAAATATAAATGACATTAACTAAAAATAATATACATGAAATGTCTCAAAAAACCAATCCTTAGGTTGCCCAAAGGGTGAAAAAAGATGTAAAAACATCTAAATCTTATTAAATGTTCCAATTCCAAACACAGAAACTGCTCCATCCAATGAACCCACTTACTATCAATGCCTCTTAAAAAGCTTTGCCTAACCAATCACCACTCAAGTACCTGCATCAAGAAAATTTCCAAACCAGTTTTTATGTTTGAAAAAAAGCATTCCAATATCATATAAAAAACTATGGTTTTCAACTTGTAATAATCAAAGAAGACTCAATAAGTATGTTAGATACCAAAAAGCATATAGCATTAATGCACCATTCTTTGAAGTTAACTAGATAACAAAATGCAGATATTTATAAAAATCTCAAACAAGATTCAAACTTATTTGGAAAGTTGTACAAAAACAAGGCTCAAAACTTCCAATTCAAATAAAATTGCTACTTAAGACATTGGTTTCTTCCCAAGTTGATCTAACATCTGTTATAAGTTATAAAGATTCTGTCTTTGTTGGAAAGTTGTTTTATGAAGTTACAGAAAAGATTAAAAGGTAACAAAATAATGAGAAACCTACAATGTTGTATGTCTGTAGTGCCTTTTGATGCTTGAAATTGCTTGAAATCACCCATCTTTTCCATTCAATCCTACCAATAATCAAACAAATCCCAATCCCATTGTTTCTTATGTTAAAAATAATTTAAATTTGAAAACACACATTAAACAGCTAATTTACCTATATGCCTATAAACTAATGAAGAAAGACTGATTTCAAAGTTGGTAATAGTGATTTCATTCAGGCAAATTTGAGTGAAAAAGATGATGATGATAAGTGTTTGATGCGTGTCCTAGAAACAGCAAAAAACTCACTACTAGCGATCCTGACAAGAGCGGCAGAAGGTACCATGAGACAGCTCGCAGAACGCGCGCACATTGACAGTGAGGTGAGACGTCAGCCGCGCTCCGGCAACCATCGGCATCAGAGATTGAGCGCATCCTAATTCTCCCAAGGTCCTACAACACAGATATGTAATACATCCAATTGAGAAATGACAACATTGAGAGAAGAGGTAATACGAGATTTAAGAATTTGGGGTAAGGAAATACCTAGGGTTACGGAGGCGGCTGGAGTGGACGCGGGGAGCGGAAGCCTGAGGAGGACGGAGGCGAGGGAGGGGCGGCGGAGTAGAGCGGAAGGATGAATTTCTTGTGGCGGACATCAATGTCCTGGAGATCGAACCACGCCATGCCATTTCTCTGAGAATCACACGAAGAGATCTTGCGAATGCCACAAGGGTTTTAGCTTCACGAATCGTAGGGTTTCTATTTCTCCTTTTCGCTTACCTATATTTTTCCTAAATTAGAAGAGAATACATATTTTGAGTAAATTACAAAATTCATCCCTACGGTATTGTTTTTATCAATATAGACCCTAACTTTAATTTGTTGTCTTTTTCTTTCTTAAAAAAATCTCTAGTTATGGTTTTCGATCTTTAACCTCACTCAATGGTCAAAGTCATGAAAACTTTTTGTTTAGAAAATTAGCAAATAAATGAAAAATGTCGTTTGATAAAACCACTGAGAAATGTAAAATGTCACTACACGAAAAATATAAAATGAGATAATGATTCAATATTATAAGACAAATACGTAATTTATTTTATTAAATTAAATGAAATCTCTTACATCCCATATCATACGAGGAAGAATACAAAAACCTCATCAAAATGTTATTACACGTGGCCAAGTAATCGAGTACAAATTAAAAAAAACTAAAGATTAAATGAATCAAAACAAAGATGTTGTCTTTATGCATCTTAGCTTCTTATCAAACGTGTATACTTTCCCAAACGTCATTTTAGCCATGATTGTACTTCCTCCATAATGCACTCTTTTTGTAGAATTCTGATTCTTGAAACCTTCTAATTTGTTGTTATTGGATAACCAAAGACCAAATTCATGAAGATCACCTTCCTTCCATGAGATACTAACTGTTACATTCCCACGTGCTTTCAACCCTTTGACCGAACCCTTTGACCATTTGTCTCTAGGAAGTGCAGGAAGCAAGTACAGATCCTTCATCGTGCTCTGAACAAGCATCTCAGCTATCGATGCACAAAATCTAACACCAACAAGGGCATTTACGTCATTTACATAGACTAGATATCGAGACTAACTGACCATTTTACCCTTACATTAAAAAAAAAAAAACAAATTTCACGATATTCATCAATTTAAGGTGGTTGGAGCAAAGACAGGTGTAAATTCCTGCTTACCCGAAATTGGCATCAATTTGGAAAGGGGGATGGGCTGTGAACAAATTACTATAAAGCCCTCCTTCATAATCACTTTCATGATCAGGGTCAACCAAGTCAAACAAGTGTTTGACCATTCGGTATGCATGTTCGCTGTTGTGAAGCCAGGCCCACAAAGCAGCTTTCCATGTAGTTGACCATCCGGGACCTTCCTCGCCTGTCACACAAGAGCAAAAACAAATTCTTTAAATTTTGACTTTTGAGGTCAAAAGGACAAATTTTGACTTCTAAATATATACAAAACTTTTTTGACATTCAGAATAAACTTGAAAGCTAAACTAAACTCTATGACATAGACTACAAATACAATCATATTAGGATTTTTTACAGTTGAGATATTCATGTCAAATTTTTACTTGGAAAAGTACATTGTTTGACTTCAAAAAGTCAAATTTACCTCTCTTGACAAGAGTATAGTCTGCAGCTTTACAAAGATCTGGAGTTTTCTCAACAGTTATGGTGTGCCCAGGAAAAAGCCCATATAGATGTGACACATGGCGATGATGCACTTCTGGATCTTCAAAATCTTGTGCCTGTTCCCATTTCAAAATTTTAATAAAAAGTTCTGATGGAATCTGGTGCATTAGTGTAAAAAAAAAGAAATTCAAAAATGGAAAAAGAAACACAAAATAATCATACCCATTCAAGAATGGAACCATCCCTAGCAATTTTGGTTGGGTAGAGTCGCGGTTGAGCTTTAAGAACTCTTTGAATCAAATCACTTTTTTCTTTACCCAAAACCTATTGATTTTTAGATTTTTTTTTATTATTTTCAAAAGACACGAAATACAAAGGATTTGTAATGTGGATTGTTAATTTATTATTACCTCGGAAGCAGAAACAATGGCGATGAATACTTCTTTTATGATTGACATGTCCATCGTTGTTGAATAGCTTACACTTGCAGGCTTACCATTGGGTGCAATAAACATATGTTCTGGAGAAGTTGATGGATTTGTTTCAAGATAACCTTCTTTCCCTTCAATTAACCAGTCCAAAAGAAATGATGTGCATCCTTCTAGTAATGGGTACGCTTTCTTTTCTAGAAATTCCTATTTATTTGATACATGTTAGCATTCAAATGATTCATAGTTAGCCGTGTTTGTTACATGTTAATGACATAACAGAATGTAATGCGTTTGACATGACATGACATGACATAACAGGAAGTGCTACATTTGTGTTTGACATGACAGGATCACATCACATCACATGACACAACATAACATAAGATGATCAAATGATAAGTTGTACAACGCTTGACATGACATAAACAATTCGTATTACGTTTGACATGACATATCTGAACAGGTTGTACTGTGTTTGATATGACAACATGACTATTCAGGTTGTACTGCGTTTTGACATGCATTGGACTTGAATCGAGATTCAACAAAAAAAGATGGAACAAGTATAAGGCTCCTTTCACGTATAACAAACAACCTTAATGTATGTAAAATGTAAAGTAGACTAAAAGCATAATCTTACTTTGTTCATTGTATACGTATAATGCTCCCATAAATGGGCACAAAGCCAAGCTCCACCCATGGGCCATAGAGCCCACACAGCCTCACCTCGATCCGGGGATGTTTTGGCCCAAATATCAGAAACTTGATGTGTAACCCACCCATTGGCCCCATAATTCACCTATCACATAAAAATTCGTTACAAAAAAAAACAATAATTAACTCAAAAAAATGCCACAAAATGAAGAAAATCGTCTCACTTTTGCAGTTTTACTTCCATTGACGGATAAAGATGATATGTAGTCAAACAACGGTTCTTGACACTCATGCAAATTGCATGAAAGTGAAGGCCAATAATTCATTTGAAGATTAATGTTCAAGTGAGGAGCACCACTACATAATAAATTCACAAAATATTTCAATAACATAACTTTAAAAGATATTAAATTTAATTTTGTAAGAACTTACTCCCATGGGGGCTCGACTTTATTATTCCATATTCCCTGCAAATTAGCCGGTTGAGTACCAGGTCGTGAACATGATATTAACAAATAACGTCCGAATTGAAATAAAAGCTCAATCAAAGAAGGATCTTCATCTGTTTTAAAAGATTTGACCCTTTCAGAAGTCGCGACATTTTGTTCATTATTCGAGCTTGAAAGCTCAATGGAGACACGATGAAATAGTTTTTGATAATCATCCACATGGCGAGCATAAAGTTCTGAATACGAAAAGTTTTTTAATGATTCCAATGTGTTTAAAGATTCAGAAACTGGATCACGTTTTGAATCTTTAGGGTTTGTAAATGGGCTTTCAAATGAAGACGATGCTACTAAAAGTAACACAACTGAGTCACACCCCTCGACTTTAAGCTTCTTTTCATCTAGAACACTTATGATGCTCTTGTCGCCATTAATTTGCAAATCAAGAATCGCGGAAAACTTTATTCCTTCGGGGTTTTCATCATTTTTAGCAAAAAGTGTCGGTGGTTTTCTTTTACCCGGACATGATCCTTCCATGATAATTTGGTTTTGTTCGTTTACATAGGAATGGTGATGGAGCTTGCTGTCGAGAAATACAGTGAATGATAAAGATCCGGATTTGCTTCCGGAGATTTTTGAAACGATAACTTGATCTGGGTATGAAGCAAAATGTTCCCTTGTGAATTCAACTTCGCCTATAGAGTATTTGACTTTTACTGTGGATGTATCTAAATCAAGCTCTCTTTGATACGTTTTATCATCGTAGGCAGCAAGATCGTCGGAAAATTCTAGGTTTATATCGCCCAGAAGTTGGTAAACCTTCATTATTACGAGAAAGAGAGGTTACATGAACTCATATGGTCGTTTACACTAAGAAATATAGTCAAGAAACATACGTCGGAGGGATCGCCGGACAATTTGACGGCGGCGGTAGTAGCTTCGGGGTATTTTCCGTCATCGACGAGCTTTCTGACCTCCGACAATGCTGTCGGAGCATCTGGGTTCGTGTAGTCTCCGGGAACCCCTGTCCACAGCGTGTCATCTTGAACAACAACAAGAATCCATTAAATCATCAATGGCATTTCAAGATTGAAGAAAATGTTCAACTTTAAATGGAAAAACCTAAAAATACTTGAATTCCTTAAATGGGTAATTTTAAAAAAGAAAAATTTACCATTAAGATTGATGGTTTCAGTAGCGACACCACCCCAGACCATAGCACCAAGGCGGCCATTGCCGATGGGAAGAGCATCCGTCCAGTGCTTAGCTTCACCATTGAAAATCACCTTCAAAGCTTTCTTCTCTGTTTCATTCGAGCTGCTTGATGATGATGATGATGATGGATTCCACAAATCTTTATCTAAAATTGGTTTAACCATGACCCATTCGTCATCACTGTCTTCCATTTTCACTCAAGCCTACCAAAAAGCCTATTTTTTTTCTTCAATTGCAGAACCAACTCCCTGTTTTCTCTCTCTAGTTCTCTGTGTCTACATAAATGTGTGTGTAGTATTGTTGACCCGACCCGGGAAAGAGGATGACCCATGAGTAAATGCTGTAAGAAGAAGACAAGAAAGGGGATTAAGGAGGGGTCCGTGAAGAGTAATTTCTTGATGAAATTTAGGTTACTGTGTCGCTGTGTGTGTATGTGCAATGGGCCCTTTTCTGTGTCGGTGTTCGCTGTTGGGAAGAGTACCAGTGAAGTGGTTTCTTGATCTTACTCCTGTTTGCGTTATCAATGGAGATTGTTATAATAATCTTCTTTGACACGTTTAACCTGGGACTAAATATAGCTAAAAGCCTAAAACTAAGAAAAACATCATTTTAGGTTCGAGTTTAACTTATCCCAAAATGTAACAACGTGAGTGTTATAAATAGAATTAAGATGCAAATCTTTCAAATAAAGAACTCATTCTTACCCAATAATTTTTGGGAAAATGACTTATCAAGGTAATTAACTTTTCGGTATGTTCACATCTAGGTAACTATCTTTTTTTTGTACACATCTAGGTAACAAATTTGTTGGAAGTGTTCACATATGACTATTATGACCTGCTGTAACAGGTTACATCCTAGA